TTTTTTTTTTTTAAATGTATTTTATTGATCTCAGAGAGAGGAAGGGGGAGGGACGGGGGGAGAGAGAGAGAAACATCAACAATGAGAGTCATTGATCGGCTGCCTCCTGCACGCCCCCTACTGGGGATCGAGCCCACAACCCAGGCATGTGCCGGGCCCTGGATTCAAACCTCAGAAGACTGGATCATAGGTTGATGCTTAACCGCTGAGCCACACTGGCCAGGCTAGCTCTTGTGATTTTAACAGATTCAGAATAATAGTGAAAACAGATATTTCAGACTGAAACTTTTCAGATTGCAATTCAGACCTAATTTTGAATTTTCACTTGCCAGAAAATTGTAGTTCAGGGGGTATGCAACATGAGAAACTCATATAGCAGTGTCCTCAGGTTGAGACATTGTTACACTGTGGAAGGTGATGGAGGAATCAACAGGATGTAAAAATAGACCCATGACTCAGCATCATGATCCCTCTGTGCACCTCAGTGAGAGAAACCTAAGAACAGCCAAATGTATAAAAGGATCTGCCATTGGCTATGCTAATAACTTCCTTTGTTCACAAGGATAATCAAGGTTGAACACCAATTTGTCTTCATATTTTTGAGGAGAAAATGAATTCCTCTGTTTTAACGTTTGGAGTGTACAAATCTAGATTCCTTTTCCGAAATGAATTCACTAAATAGAAAACTATTAAAAGTATATAATCTATTTGTATAATACCCAATATTACTTTAGTAAATCTGCTACCTAACATATCTCCCCCAAGATTTCTTAAATCTTCTATGATTAAAGATTAAACAATTTAAAACTCTGCTTTCATAATGGTATATTTAGACCCTATACTGCTTTTCTTTATGCAAAGCCTACAAATACATGTTTAGACAATTTCTACCCGAACACTTAGTCTTGATTTTCGACCTGTTATTTTATTGGTGGTGTATGTTGGCTTCACTGTCTTAACCTGCGTCACGGTTTTGCTCTTCGCCTGCAGGCCGAGTTCACGGCCATGAGGGAGCAGTACATGCGAGGCGGGGAGGGATTCATCGTGTGCTACTCCGTCACCGACCGCCAATCATTTCAGGAGGCTGCCAAGTTTAAAGAGCTCATTTTTCAGGTCCGTCACACCTATGAAATTCCCCTGGTTCTGGTGGGTAACAAAATTGACCTGGACCAGTTCCGCCAGGTGAGTGCCCATCTTATCTGTTAGCCTCTGCCTTTTCCAAGGAGGACACTTAGTGTCCCAAGCATGGCCGCTTTCCAAGGTTCATATGGGGAGTTCTGAGAAAGAAGTGATGCACATCATTTATCTAAGAAGTCTTGGGGGTCCTGTGGTATTTTGTGTTAGCCACCACAATACGCCCCGTCTCACATGTGACTTTTCAGTGTCCTTGCCACTCCCCCATCAGGAGGCAGTCTGTTTCTCCCATCCTCTTGGATCTGGGCTGGTCCTGTGATTTATTTTGAGCAGTATAGTATAACTTCTAGGGTTGATCCTTAAGAGTGAAGCAGGTTCTACCTTTGCCACTTAAAACATCTACAAGTAGGGTCTAGCCACCATCTAAGGAAGACCACGCTAACCATTGGAGGGGGCCATGTGTATAAAGCAACATCCAGTCCCACAGCTGTCCCCGTCAAGGCACCACACACGTGGGCAAAGCCAGTTTGCTATGTTCCAGCACCAACCACTACCTAACTGTAACCTCATAAGATACCCTAGCTAATCCACATGGAAGAGAAAAATCTCCCAGGTGAGGCTTGTCTGGATTTCTGACCCACAGAATCCTGGGCTAATAACATGGAATTGTTCAAACCACCATGTTTGGGATTATTAATTGTTGCATGAAAAATTAAAACAGGACCCTTGCCACCTTCCAGAATCAGAACAAGCCATTACTTCTCAGGTTGAATAAGAAATGGCTTGTTCATAGCATAAATCTGCTTCAAGTTGCCCCTGCTGTACCACTGTGATCCTCAGATAGCCTCACAATTTCTTCAAGCAAACCAAATTGATAATGCAGAAACCATGTCTAATTTAGACTGTGATCCATTACCAGCGTTCATGTGGATCATCATAGTTTATTCTCATCTTATGAGACACTATCAGGGCCTGATGGGCAAACTAGGATGGCTTTGTCCCTGAGATGTCTACAGAGTAATACTTAAGCTGTCCTTAGGACTCCTGAAGAGACTAAAAAAGAAAAACCTAGTTCAGGGACCAAATCATCTCACAATTTCATTGCCATGATTCATTTTGTGTAAAGTTATATTCTGAAGTTGCCTGCAAATCAACTTTTTGTAAATCCAATTCTCTCAATGGAGTGACTTAGTTATAATTTGAGATGCTTCATCTTTGTTTGCATTGACCTTAAATTTGAACTGAGTTTCAATAGCTTGTTATTCTAGTTAATGATTTATTTTTAGATTTCTTAAAGTAGCCTGCTAATAGAACCTTGGCTAAGGTAAGAATTCTCTCTAAAGCAATTTGTTTTCTACTACGTTAAGTGTTTTTACATTTGCATTTTACATTTTAAGTTTTCTTAAAGTGAAAAGTTCTCATATGGAGCTAATGTTTATGAATTTATGCTTAATTCCTATGATTTTGTGCAATGCATTTTTGTGATTGTTTTTTCGTATATTTTCTTTGAAAATCAAAGCGTCTTAAAGTGGTAGCTGTTTTTGGGAGCTATCATACTCTTTTGTCTCCTCTGCACCTGTTTTTCTGTCCTGCTTTATTGCTTCTTTCTCCAAAGCAATATTTAGTGTAATATGGTTATATTACTATGGGATAGAAATTCAAGTTTTTCTCGATAGCTAAATGTGAATCTATTCTTAGGCATTTGACAGAAAGAAAGCAGAGAGGTAGGTATAGGTCTAGTGGTGAGAACTCAGATACCCTTCTGAAGGGTGAGCGTGCTTTACTATTTCTTTGGGACTTCTGGGTGGCATGAGGGGAGCACCCTGAAATGGAAGTGTACATCAGTGACCACCCTTATTGCATTTCCCAGAGTGCATAGAGAACATAAACCTTTAATTGGATGCCAGTCAAGAGAGCTCTAAGTGACTCTGAGAAAGACGGTGAATTTGAGAACGTAAGGAAAACTTCAGGCAAAAGTGAATCAGGTTCTCTCTAGAGTGGTTGTATTCCATGATTCCAATGCTGGCTGACATTGGCTTTCACCTCGCTCCCCTGGCCCTGCTCCTGCTTTCCTACGCTCAGTAGTGGTCCTTCGCATGTCCCAAAGGGATGTTCAACAGGTCCCCTATCTCAGCCTGGTTAAATTGCATTTTAGCTGTGACGTGAATTGCCAGCATCACAAATGTCACTGAAAGAAATACCAAAAAAGACTTTAAGCTGAGTAATTTTGCAGATTGGATAGACTTTTCCTTTTAGATAAAAGCAAGTAAACATAGTCACAGAAAGTGCAATAACCATGAAAACTCAAATTACAACCTTTTAAAAAATGTCCATGTGCCCAGGTCTCCAATAATGAAGTGTTGATATGCAAATTTGGTTTCTGGCTGTGGTGTTTGTGATGGAAATAATTATTTCTATAATTGTAGAGTGGTTTTTTTATTCAAAATGCTTTCTGTTCATTATTTTAATCCTAGAACTGCCCTGTGTAATTTTAAGACAAGCATATGATGTGTGGTGGTGATATTTCTGAAGTAACTATACTGATAGAAATTGGCTTTAAGAAACTTACTGTTTGTAACAAAATTAAGACTATGATTGCTAACTTATTATACCAGTATTTAAAGGTTAGGTCTCGTTTTTTCATCTAAAAACAAAAAGATGCTGACACTTGAATTATCTGTAGTGCAAAGGACTTTTGTGAAGACTCCTAGAGTAACAAAGTTTAACTCTCACAGAGCCTGGGGGAAATCATGCTGGGGCTTTGTGTAAGGCCTGGGAGCCAGAGAAGTAGGATCCCCACTCGGCAGTTCTTCCTCCTTGGTCTACATGGAAAGAGGTAGAAAGAAAAGCTGTTTCTTACCATGCTTACTTGGTATAGAGTAGGTAGTGGCTACATTCGTAGTGCATTTTGATGAATACTCAGTCTTTTCTGTCAAGAAAAATAAATGAGTTTTAGTGCCTGATGTTTTTATGGTTTTCCATTTTGAGTTAAAGTATTGAAGGGCTCTGTTTAAAGTCTAGTATTTTATCTTGGAACAATATTCATGTTGACGCTGATGATATTGATGATACAGCTAGTATTTGGAAGGCTCTGTGCCAGGCACTTACCACACATAATTGTATTTCTTCCTTACCATAAGCCCATGAATAGGTTCCTGAGACAACTGACTCATTATTTAATACATCCAGTAACTTGCTCAAGGTCACAAGCCTACTTAGAGCTGAAAGGCAATACCCAGGGCATTCTGATTTGAAAATCTCACTCTGTTATACTGTTGGCTTGCAAACCATTGTTATTTTTTATGAATTAGTGGGGTTTTTTTGGTGTGTGTTTTTTAATCAGCTTTAGGATCTTAGCATGTTTCTCAGAAAATGGGACATCTTACTGGCACGTTGAAGCAGAAAGGATCACAGTGGTAACTGGTGGTGGAGAGGGGAACTCCAGGACCTTGACAAGCCAGTAATAGCCAGAAGTTGGGGGGAAGAATGCGAGGGAAGGTAAGAGTAAAGAAATGAGGTTCAGTACTACTGGAAAGCACTGTTTTCTAATCAGCTAAACAATGTGTCCAGAGTCCAGACCATTCTAAAACCTTTTTTCTAAAGTCCCAGGCAACATTAGGTCCCTGAGCTGCTTTGTCCCTACTTACAGTCTTCTGCAGTCACACTGGGAAGTGGATTGGGATAATTCCTGTTTTTGTTTTTGCAAAACCCTGACTAACTGCAAGTAAAAATGGTGCTAAGAATGGAAGGGGCTCCAGGGATTTGGGAGCTAGATTACCAAAGTTTGACGTCAGCTGAAGACCACAAACTGTCTTACCCTGATGATAAATGACAAAATCTCAGGGCTAACAATCTAATTGCAGCTTACTGCTTACCACGAAGCCTTGAAAATCTCCGTTCCACAGCCTGAGTAACTCTTCCAATGCTGACTTAGGATTGTGAAAGACCCTTTGTTCTTCAGTGAGATATCTAGGAAAATATTCCATCCCTGTACTGAGAGGGCGTATGGAATCTGTATGGACCAAGAATCACTATATTAAGAAAAATAAAATCTATTTAGAGTTATAGCAATCATGTACTTATCTTTGCAGAGTGGTGGCAGCTTTGGAGCGAGGTAAAGGAATGACTATGCCAGTCTTTGTCCTCAAGGACTTCCCATTCTCATCAGAAAGGATCTATACATATGAAGTAGACAGCAAACCATATTAAACAATAAAACTAATTTTGAACAATATGGCATCGTGCATTAAGTGCAACTTTTGTTGAGAATGAGAACTGAGAATTTGGGCAGCACTTTTGAGGAAGGAAGATGCCAAAAGGAGAAGCACCCTGCCCAGGTAGGAAGGATCAGGTGAATGGTGATAGTTCTTTTAGGAAGGACCAACCAGAGTAAATCTAGAGAGTAGCAAGTGAATTGTGGGGCGGGGAGTATGCACAAGCCATGAAGGCCAGGGAGGGGGAGGCAGTGGACGAGACCAGCCTGCCCAGCACACACACATCAAGCATCCTCAGAATAGTTTCATAGACAGGCCTGCCTTGAAGACATACGCAGGAAACAAATATGACTGGAGTGTGTGGGATATGCTGTGATACAATACAATAATTCATTGCAAATACCACTCAAATAAAAAAAGAGTAGCACTTCATATTTCATCACCAGTACCTTAAATAATCCATATAAACACATATTACAAATAAGGGTTTATTTTTTTTATGGGAAGCGAAAGGTTTGGTAATTTATCCAATATTATGGGGATAAATACTCAAACTTACCAATTATTTAGCCCTATTTTTTCCTTTTCATAGCATTTTCTTTATATGCTATTTCACTTAATTAAGATGCAAAGGTATTCTAACTAAGATGGGAAATAAAGCAAAACAAAGCTTAGAGATGTACGTAAGTTATCTAAACTGGTAGGTTGCAGAACTAGAATTTGAACCCATATCAGCTTTCTGATGTTTTTTTCTGGCTAACATTTTTTTATTCAATGTATTTACCAAATATTTAATAATTGTTCAGTGGCTAAGAGGTACTTTTTTAGAAATCT